TAGTCGGAAACACAGCTACGATTTGCCCTTTATCCCGGCCACAACTTCCTCAGATGGAAAACGACTTCGCGACAACGTGATCATCATGCCATATAGACCACAATGAACTTACTTCGTATAGTGTTTTCAGCCAGTGTCTCCATCATCACCAAGTTGCGAAAAGTTAGTCAGTTCAATTCTACACGGCAAAACTAGGCACCTTAAATTAAAGATGTCTTAGACTTGTATTGTAATTAACTGTTCCATGGCGCCGAAACGGAAGTTCATTCTCGATGGCCATGATATTTTCTGAGGCATGTAGCAAGCAAGTTTAATGCAAAATTAAATATATATACTTATTTCGCTTATTATTTATTCTTTACCAAATAGTCAGTCTGATTTCATTTTTGAATCAAAGTTTTTTCGGTCCTTTTCTCTACTTAAACTTTCATTGATAGCTTAAGTCAACATTTTGCCCACCAAATGTTTCTAGTACTTCTCCGTGCGACACTTGAAATTCCATACTGAATTGCTCACTAATATAGCAATAAATAATTTTTATTAGTTGACTAAATTGACTTATATGATGGATATTTTACTTTACAGGCTTGACTATTTTGTTCGACTTTCCACTCGACTTGTTGCTAGTCGGGTCTCTTCTGGCCGGTCTCTCGTCCAACGGGTTACTCGGTTTTGTCGCGCAGGTATTCACTTGCGTCGCAGATCTCACTCAATCTACCAAATCCTTTGAAGCTGAGCAACTTTCTGAACAAACCGGGGCATCGCGGTCTTCTATCACCCCATATGAGACCTCTGAGTCGGACAATGATCTGTCGCAAATGGCGGAGCAGACGGTTGGGCAATCCAATGACTACAAAAAAAGATCCTTTCGGCTCTTTCTGATTGGTTTTTTCGACTCGCTTTTCTCTCTCTGCCTTTCTGGTTCTCGAGCTCTTGCCAGTTAATATCAACAGTGTATATCTTTTTAATTAAAAAAACTTCTATCTATTATTTTGGCAAATGTTCCATCTGATTAAGTAGATTAGCATGAGCGCTTCTTTCTTCAAAAACCTTTCTTAATTGGGCCGTTAATCAAGACCCTAGAGCATTTTGGCGGACACTGGGAGTAATTGTAGTCTATCTCTCCTATTCCAAGCTTCTTCCAAATGGGCGTAACAGGAGATGAGGTATTATTACAATATAACAGGTGCATTGTAATGCATCTCAATTTTGGGGTCAGGAAAAGGCCATACTATTATGAGTCAACACCAATCCCTACTTGAACGAAAGAACCAATTTTGGCATATCCTTGAACAGAGCACAATTGCTCAAACCTTTCTTATTTGTGGCTCTTCCTACAGCCTCTCCCTTCGACACATCGCTCCATCAATTATAGTTAACTATAACTGAAATACTTCGCTGCTTTATATTTTCGTCAAACGAACTCTATGATGTAAACAACATAAAAAATTACTTTCTAAGGATTTGTTGTTGTGGTCCAGCAAATATGTCTACAGCTTTTCTTCTTGCATAGGATTTAAGCATTGCATTTATTCATTAATAAAAGCCTACCCTAAAATGAAAACTCAACTATTGAGTCATTTTCAGATACTCCCATTAACATTCAGTCCTTTATCAACATAGTGTTTGTTCGACCTTGTTTTCGTAACTTGGCCGGAGTGTCAGGGAGACTTTGTGACACTACCTAGTCCCGAGTCCTCTGCCAGCATTGGACCATTGGCTGAGTACATTCCCAAAAGTTCTGTCGGCATCGTTAATGCGAGGCGCCATCGTAAGCCCAGAATTACAACTTATTAAAGTGACACGTGTTTAAGACAAAATAGGGAGCTTGTTTTTACGACCAAGAATAACTTGTTTCTCTTCCATGATGCTTTCATTTTGCTCAGGACTGCTTTTGCGACTTAAACCTACCTGCAAGAAGACCTCCATACTTCATTTTTCATCGTCTTCTGGCGGTAATTGTGAAGCGAATCTCTGATTGAGCAAGTCCTTATGTGTTTTCCGGTATCAGTGTTGTTGTTGATTAAATAGAAAGTTCACTCATTTAATAAATATCGCAAGGTAATTATAGAAGAGGCGTCATCCGAAACTTCTGACTATCCTACTTAAGTGATTTACTCGAAATGAAAATACATCGCAGGCGACTTGCTCCTGAGGAACTGGGGCAAGGTTCAATGAATAAATCAGAATCCTTCAATTAATGTCAAATTATGCCAGACCTCAAATAACCAAATGCTTTAAGTATTCTCTCCCGAGATGATGCTAATTTGATGATGTTTCCTTGATTATGAGTGTTCTTTATTAGTATTATTTTGTAATGTATTTATTTGTTAATTCATGTTACTTCGTTTAATTTATTTTTGGTATAGTTGGTTTTATTGGTTATATTCTTTAGTTAAGTTAGTTGTGCTTACATTATTTTAATATTTGATCTAACACGTTTATAAAAGGATCATTTTGAACTATATATTGACCCATATAAATACTTTGAACTTGTTAAATTGTATTTGCATTAGGATAACCTTTAAAAAGCTATAATTTAATTTTTGAGGCTTTTTAAAATGTGATGGTAATATGTTGAATAGGATGGCTTAGTTAGTATAATATATGTATATAATCATAAATTTTGATGTTAGTATTGATAATCGCATAATATATTGGGCGACAATGATTAATATTAGTACCACCCCTTTTTTAGGGCTAAAAGAGTAGTATATTTATGGAGCTAAGTAAGGAACATATGGCCATGGAATATGATTTATCGACCAACTTCAAATATCTTTCAATTTTATGCTTAAGCCAGGCACGCAACTCAAATACAACTAATTATTCAATGTATATGCGAAGAAAAGTTGGGTACCGAGGAATCTCCTGTTTCATAATTGCTTAGCTTACTTCCATTTCGAGTGAAAGTGTTTGGTAAAGATATTCGAAGGCCAATTTAACCAGAAGACGACGGCGGATTCCTCTTGAGCAGCTGTTGATTAGCTTTACTGGAACATTCATGTTAACGCTGTTTCCGAGGTAATCTCCTTAGATTGAGATGATAACGTGCAAAGCTTTCGTCCGTCATATGATTAACATCATCAGAGCAAGTTATCATCGTCACAACCAAATTCAGACTAACGAGTAATGATAACTAACTGACAAATCCATAAAAAGCGGTATATATACTCTATATCTGGCCTCTTTTATCAGGTATAAAGTGATTTGGTTAGGTACGGTCATATGACTGGTTATCTTGAATTTGGTTGTGATGATGATACCTTGCTCTGATGATGTTCGTCATTACCTTTTCAGCACCTTTTCTCCGGGATCGAAAGAGATTACCATGAATGCTCGAGTGAAGCCAATCGACAGCTGGTCAAGAGGAATCTGCCGTCGTATTCTGGTGGAATCGACCTTCGAATCTGTTCACCAAAAACGTTCACTCGAAATGGAAGTAATTTCAATAATTATTCGGAATTAAAATATTTTGGTGAATGACCTTACTCCGAAACGACCTAGAGTGACCGGCCTTCATACATCTTTTAATAGATTATCCCGGAAACCTTTTATTTTTTATCTAAATAAGCCTTTAATGTCTCTATAATAGCTTCCCCTATCTAATATATATGCTTTGCTACTTTATTTTTTTGCTTTACGCAACTTAAGGTTATAGTATCTACGCCAATGGCTTTACTATATCTGCTTTGGTTACTTTGTCTGGGCTTGCCCTTTCCAGCTTCTGCCTCTTCTTTCTCCCTGAAACTTCTCAACGGAGAGAACTAAGGCCGTCGTCTATTGCCTCTGCAGAAATTGTACACAGAGCTTCGCCGAATGTATTCCGTCAATTGTATTCTGGCCTTATTGTCTGGACACACGGTCTCTACTTCTCTCTTAAGGTAGGTGATATATTTCTTGGAGAAAAAGATTAATATAAAAGAGGCTTTGATGTATTTTATTTGTGGTTCTATGATTGTAATTATACATTGTCATTTAGCAAATAAAATATATGGTTTTTTGCATATTGCTCATTTCAAGCTTGCTTTCAATTTATCTCAAAAAATTATTACGAAGACCTTCACTGTTCGTCCCCAAGGGAAGCTGAAATGAGATCACTTTTACTTTTTCGACTATATTCAAAGTCGGTATATTTTGAAACCGTAAGTAATTTTTACATAAGAATTCAGTTACCCAAGGTCTTTTACGCGATTTACGGACTTCTAGCGGAATTTTCCCACATTTATATGAGTAGGCCTCAGAATGCCATTGAACTCAAATTAACCTTAACTCGGAGAAAACA